CTCAGTATTCTTCTCCAAACAGGGCCTGCAGATCCCAGTGGAATTCTCCACCCCTGCCAGGCTGCATTTTCAGCATTTTAGCTGGAGGCAGGAGGCTGGCGGGAACACAGAAGGGGTGAAGAGGGAGTTTAACTCTGGGCAGGGTTAGCTAATGCCCACAGCAGGAGCAGGGGAGTAATCTGGGCTTCCCCTCGGGACCTGAGGGCTGGCTCACCCAGGCCACCATGCAGGAAGCATCAGGATCCAGAAGTGCACCTGGGGCTCATGCCCTTTCCGTTTCCTACAAGGCCACCCTGCACACACATACATACCCATGCATGTATACAAAATTTGCACTAAGAACCAAAGCCCATTTTCTCTGTGCTGCAGCCAAAGGACTTCATTTGGAAACCCTAGTTTAAGCTGGTAAAAAGGAAAGGAATTATCTGGACGTTCACACTCAAAAACCCCAACACAAAACAAATACAAAAACAAAATAAAAACCACACCCACTTTGGAATAGAGTTATGTGGGAAAAGCTGAGCAGGAATTGGACTTCATTTTTATACCTTCCTGAGAGGCACATGACAGGAAGCTATTTCTGTTCTATGTCAAATCTGAGTGCTCCAAGTGAAGGTAGGGGGAGGGGAAGAGGAGTGGCGGTCAGTAACTGCCTCATCCAAGAACTGCTTAGTCCTGTGTGGGTGTTGCTAGCAGAACTACTAAGAAACAAAATCCTAGAGCAAAGGACTTCAGCACTCCAGGGTGGATGAACCCACAGCCCCTTCACCAAAGCATTATGAACAATGAAGGGTGAACCACAGTTCTGCCCTCATATTTAAGTAGTAAGTTAGGATGTATTTCCCTCTCCCAACACCCTTTGTCTAGGAAAAACAATTACCCCAAAATTCAAATTCAGGAGAATGAAGGGGAATCATTGGTAATAATGGCTAATATTTTTTGAGCACTTACTACGTGCCATTGGCTCCCTTCATCCTCCCAATAGTTGTATGAAATAGAGTCCCACCATACCAAAAAGGAACTAGAGGTCCTAAGAGTTACCCGCCACCCCCAAAGCCCCTAGAGACTTTCATTCCAGTCCCCAGATGCATACATGGCAAATCCTCTCTTAAAGTTTTTCTAATAACCTCCTGCCGAGACACATACCAACCCAGAACCATGTGCTTTGGGTTAAGATTTAACTATTGACAATGGGCCAAAGCCAAGAGCACTTGGGGCAATCTGTCTCTGGGCAAGGAGCTGCTAAAACTGTGTTTTTAACATGAAAAACCGCGTTTTGACTTTTTTTTCTAGTTGGAATAGTTAGGAGAATACAAAATATGTTTGGGGTTAATATAGCCCAAAAATCTATCTTCTTCTAATTTACTAACTTCTCCAGTAATGAAATAATGTTGGCATCACAGTGAAATAGAAGACTGTTTTCTATCATTCAAGCTCCAAGCACAAGGGCACGGGAGCTCCAGCAACTCTGTTTCTGGAAAATCCAGTAAGAAGGGAGAAGTGTGAGGAGTGCTGGGTGAGACACAGGGGCTTGGTACTCTCCTCCTATCTTCAGATAGTCACCGAGCACCAGAATGGGCCACGCACTGTGCTAGCAGTGAACAAGACAGCAGCCCTGCCGCTGGGAGCCTGCCTTGCAATGAGGGGACAGTGGAGGAAAATGAGTAAAGAAAAAGTGAATCGGAACTCATCAGGTAGTGATAAGCATTACCAGGAAATTAAACTGACTGGAGAGTGGGGTGTGTGTGTGACTTTGCCTGGGGATGGGGGTAAGGGAAGACCTCTCACGGAGAACATCTGAGCTGAAAGCCAAACAATTAAGGAGCCAACATGCTGAGATCGTGGGGGAAATATTCCAGCCAGAGGGAAGAGCAATTGCAAAAGCTGCTCAAGCACCAGAGAGAAGGCTCAGGTGGCTGGAGTATTGGGAACAAGAGGCAAGTGACTGGAAATGCACAAAAGAGGGAGGAGGGTGCCCTGCGAGTCTTTGCAAACTCTGGTAAAGAATGCAAAGCTATTGGAGGATTTTCATCAAGGGGAAAACACAATCAGATTCATTTCCCAAATTCTCTTTCTGGCTATTACGTGAGAATAATTGGCTGTTCTGCACGTGTGTTCAAGGTCCCACCTCAGCTCTCCTACCTGGCAGCATGCTCCCAGTGCATGGGCATCAAAAGATTCAACCTTTTCATTACCAATGCTGACTAGTAACTCACTGGTCCTTCTCCCAAGATTGTCTGGAAATTCTTTCAAAAAATAAGATTTAAAAACATAATTATTGTTAATTTAAAAAATAATTTGTGTTCCACTCAGAATTTTAAGAAAATGGGTCGGAATAACTGTTTAAGAATTATTTATTTCTAAAACAGGCGCTGCTTACTTCAAAACGGCATTTGAGGTCATTGTAATAAAGCAACATTCCCATAAGCAACAGGACAACTTAAAGTTTTCTTTGGGAATATGTTTACAATCTACTGGAATACATGCTACCGTATCATTTTGGGAGAGAAATATTAACATTAAAGAATTTTAAAAGCCCAGTTTGCTCTAAGGATTGAGTTTAGCTCACACACAGCCTCATCATGAGCTAAAACCTCATAACATCTTCATTTTAATCTACTTTTACATTTCTCTCCCTCCCTCCTCTCCCTGGTCCTCTGGAGAGCCACCATCTGCCTCATTTTGCTGCTCAATGGCACCCCCATCAGAGACTGAGCAGAAAGGAAGGATTGGAAAGCCTTGAAATGCCCCTGGTTTGGCAGTTCTAAGTTTTGTGTGTGCATGCCTTTGTGAGGTGGTGTTTGTGCAAGTGTTGGGAGGGAGGGGATGGGGGGAATTCCTGGGTTAAAGTGATGCTTAAATTTTAATTATTTATCCGTTCATTCTTCTACAGTGTAGAGTCTACACACATGTATTCATTCTCTCTCTCTTTCTCTCCCTCCCTTCCTCCCTCCTGTGGCCAGTAAAACACTCAGACCCACAATGTGCAATATGAAAATCTTAAAAATAGAAGAACAGTCTAATTTCCATTTTTAATCTCTTCCTACAGCACTCTTTCCTCTGCTCTAATTCTGCCAGTGAGAATCCCATTCTTTAAGCTTTTCTCAAGGTAAGATGTAGCACTGTCAAACATCTCATAGGTAAGGTTCAAAACAAAAAGCAAAAGGTAGAAGAAAAATTAGAGAAACATTTCATTCTTCCTGCTGGGTGGATTCTAAAGGCTTTTTTATGATTATTTGACCAAAGCTCACTGTCACCATCAAAAGTTTTTTTTATTACAGCTTTTAAACACTTAGAAAAACAAAAATGCTCTAATTTTTAAATATCTTACACAAAAACTATTGTTCCCATTACTTTCTCTACAATTTTCACCATATTCACTACCTCCAAGATTATGCATGGCCAGCCCGCACTAGTACCAAAATATAACAAATTTTCAGCAGATTATAAAAAAGGGATTTGGCAGAAATGCTGAGGATTTTTGAGGGTTTGGTTGGGGGAGGGTGGAGAACAGAACTGCTTTAGTTCTTTGCTTGGTTTTGGCTCTTGATGTTTGTTTCAAATTGCTATGTTGCCCCAAATCATAAATTGCTTATGTAATTTAATGTGCAAAAAGTGGGTGCATGCATTGTTTTAGAATTTTTCATTTGAGCAACTGAGCTTTCAAGGGAAAATCTCAAAGAAAAAACTTTTAAGTAAGTTACTTGACTATAAACTGAACTTTCCAGGTATTTCCCCCCAAAATCTTTGACTATAATAGCTGAAAGCTAGTCAAGCACATTCATGACCAAAAGAGACAAAAACCACATACTGAATAGAAAAGGAACCCTTTTAGTTAAGAGAAAATAGCCGGGATGTGTTTATTTAGCTTTTTTTTCTTTTGGGTAAAGCCTGGTAAGTTTCTTCCAGCTTCCTTAAGAAGTGCATCAGTGGCCAGCCCAGGCCGGGTGGCTCAGCCTGTAATCCTAGCACTCTGGGAGGCCGAGGCCGGCGGATTGCTGGAGATCTGGAGTTTGAAACCAGCTTGAGCAAGAGCGAGACCCCATCTCTACTATAAATAGAAAGAAATTAATTGGCCAACTAATACATATATAGAAATTAGCCGGGGATGGTGGCACATGCCTGTAGTCCCAGCTACTGGGAGGCTGAGGCAGGAGGATTGCCTGAAGCCCAGGAGTTTGAGGTTGCTGTGAGCTAGGCTGACTCCACTGCACTCACTCTAGCCTGGGCAACAAAGCAAGAAGTGCATCAGTGCTCAAATTCGAAATCTGTTCATCATTCACCCCCTCCCCCAGCGAGCTGTTGATGCAGAATAGAACCTGCCTTGCCTCCATTTATCCATCGAGTACCTTCTATTAAAATGCCGGTAACATTTGGCTAAACTGAGATAAACCTAAACGTGAGATTCCGTTCTGCCACAATAGAGGTGAAAAGAATGCTCCCGTTTCTCCTGGCCGTCCTGCAAAGGGATGGTAACATGGCCCATCCGGGCCCAGCGGGGCTGGACGCCGGCCTGGCATGGGTCGACCGCCGCACCGGACTGCGACTCCAACTTCTGCAGCCTGTTGGTTCGCCCCGCTCCGGACCCTCGGGAGACAGGATCTGCGGCCCCCAGAACTCTCGCCAGAGAGTGGCCCAACCAGGCACCTCTGTCTAGAGGAAAGTTCCTGGCGGCGCATTCCAGACCAGACCTGCTACCTACGTTCCTCTCGGCCAAAAACTTCGGGACGTGCTTCTTGCCCGGCCGAGCTAGATTTCCTCCTCTGCGGTGAAGGGGAGCCCTCAGTGCCCACCCCTGCCCGGCTCCACCGGGACGCGCACCCACGACCCAGCCTGGGTGCGCTCTGGAACCCGAGGGGCCGCGGTCAGCGGATAGGTGGGTTCCCTTGCACCTCCGACCCTGGCACCGCGGGGGCGGGGTGTTTGCAGACTTGCCCAGCAGCTGGGAGCGCTCCCTCCTCCGACCCCCTCCCCGCCTGGCCCCCGCGGATCGCACTCACCTCTACTCCAGAGTGCAGGGAGGAAGAGCCCCAGCAGTAGCGGCGGCGGGGCCGCCCCCATCCCGGGGCCGCAGATCTGGAAATTCTCTCCAGACGGACGGACGAACGGACAGAGGGACGTCCCGAACCTGCCCTGTCGCCCGCCGAGTGCGCCGGCGAAGCGCCACAGTCCGGGCGGCCAGGGCAGTAAGCGCCGGAGTGGCTGAGCCGAGCCGCGGGCGGGAGGCGCCGAGGGCTGGAAGGGGCGGGCCGGGGGCCGACCCGGGCTGGGGCGGAGAGACGCGCAAGGGCCGAGTCTGGGTGGACTCCAGCAGGTCCGGGTGAGAGGGGGCGGGAGGAGGGGCGAAAAGGGGAAAGGGAGGGGGCTGGGCAGGGGGCTGGGCAGGGGGCGGGGAGGCGCGGGCCACCCGCTGAAGCTGGGCCGACCGGGAGGGTGGAGAGGAAGGGGACCCGGCTGACGGAGCCCGGAGGGAGTTGGAGACAAGTAAAGGGAAGGGGCGTGCCGGCGAGTGTAGACAGCACTGGCCGCAGGGCGGGCCGATGTCCCACACGTGTAGGTGGGAAGGAGAAAAGGTGGAAGAGCAGTGGAGGCCGCCCGAGGCAGCCCCGGGGTCCAAGAGGAGAGTCCAGAGGCGCCCCGCAATCCGGGCTTGGCGGACAGAAAACCCAGGCTGCAATGCTCCCGGAGGTCAGGGCCGCGGCAGCAGCGCTCCCTGCCGAGCGCCGCATCCGTTCTGCTCCCTGCGAGCGAGCGCCTCCCGGGTACCGGCTGCAGGTGCGGGACCCCGCGCTGGCGAAGGGGAGCTCACCGTCTCCGGGGGAGGGGTTCCTGGAGAAGAACTCTTCACCGTGTCCCCATGAACAGTCAAAGAGAGGTGACGCTCTCGGAGGGAGACGCACGTCAGTACCACAGCTCAGAGCAGGCGTGGAAAGAGGCAGTGTGGCGGCGATGAAGTGTGGAGAGTCCCAGAGAGCCTAGCAGAGAAAGTGAATCAAAACAGGAATGTAAACCACTTTTACTAATAACGGCAACAATAACTCAAACGTATACATACATACCTACTTAAAGGAAACATTCTAAATATATGATAATGCTTTGACAACATAACATGAGCCAGATCACAGATCGCAGCCCTCCTCTGCTCAAAACTCCCCAAACTCTTCAGTGACTCCTGCTTTCTCTCTGATAGGAGCCAAAGTCCTGCCTGAACTACACGGTCCTAGTGACCTGACCCCCTTTCCTCTCTGGCCTCATCTCCTGACTCCACTTTCATATTTCTCTTGTCAAGCAGTCCCTTGACCCCTAGGCTAGCTGGCCACCAGCCCAGGTGGATTTGGACAGGATATTACTTACACTGGCAGCAAAAACAAAATCGGCATGGTGTCAGCTCCATGTGTCCCGAGTCCTACAGAATGGCACGAAACCAGGGGCCCAGATAAACAGACAGCATGAGCCCAGCTGCTGAGCAGCCAACTCTAAACTGTAGCCAAGCAGGTTTAAAGATTTCTCAGGAGTCTTCCACTGCACCCTTTGGGGGGCCAGGGATGGGAGATGGTGGGAAGGAGATGGAAAGTCCTGCAGTCAACTGGAACTTTGGAGAAAGAGGAGAAAGGACCTTGCAGCAGTCTCCCACAAGGGAGGGATATGAAACCACCTCCCAGTGGCTCCTCACCAGGCTTGCCTACCCCTGTTCTCGGAGGACTCAATCACAGGGCAGTCTAACAAAACTTGGGTTCGACTGTGGTCATGCCTTGCCTACCTGGCCTCTGTAGAGATGTGCAAGATTGCCAGGGCATCTCAGCAGAGCTGCTCTACAGTTTCCTTGCTGTTGCTCACATACACCAGGCACTCTTCCTCCGAGGAGTTTTGCACTGACTGTTCCCTCTGCCTGAAATGCTCTTCCCTGAGACACATACTTCCCAGTTGACTTTCCTCTTTTAGTCTTTGCTCAAACCTCACTTTCTTAATGAGGCCTGCCTTGTATTACACAACACTATCCTAGTTATCCATTGTTCTGTGACATTCTACCCCAAACATAGTGAGAATAAAACATCAGCCATTTTATTAGCTTCCTGGATCCTGTGTATCAGAGGTTTGGACAGAGCACAGGGGAGATAGTTTGTCTCTGCTCCTTGACCTCAGCCTGGGACCTTAGGCTCCAATGGATGGGGATTAGAATCTTCTAAAGCAAGGGTCAACAATACTACAGCCGATGGGCGTATGGCCTGTTTTTGCAAATAAGCATTACTGGAACACAGCCATTCATATTGAGTAGTTGCAACAGAGATTGTGCGGCCCACAGAGCTATTAATATATAATCTGGCTTTTTAGAGTAAAGCTTGGCTAACCCCTGCCTTAAAGACTCATTCACTTACCCACCTGCACTGGGATGACTTAGGAACTGCAGATCAGAGCATCTGAACGAGGCTTTTCCATGGTGGCCTTGGTGTAGTTGGAAGTCTTGCATAGCAGCTTGGGGCTCCAAGAGTGAGCATTCCAATGAACAAGGGGGAAGCTTCATGGCCTTTTATTACCGAGCCTGAGAGGTCACATAGCTTCCCTTTACCATACTTTCTTGGTGGAAGTAGTCACAACTCCACCCTCATGGAGAGGAGCTGTGGCCCCCAACCTCTTGATGATAGAAGTGTCTAAGAATTTACAGCTCTGTTTTTTTTTTTTTGTTTTTGTTTTTGTTTTTGTTTTTGTTTTTTTTTTTTTTTGAGACAGAGTCTCACTTTCTTGCCCAGGCTAGAGTGAGTGCCGTGGCGTCAGCCTGGCTCACAGCAACCTCAATCTCCTGGGCTCAGCGATCCTACTGCCTCAGCCTCCCTAGTAGCTGGGACTACAGGCATGCGCCACCATGCCCGGCTAATTTTTTTTGTATATATATTTTTAGTTAGTCAATTAATTTCTTTCTATATTTTGGTAGAGACGGGGTCTTGCTCAGGCTGGTTTTGAACTCCTGACCTCGAGCAATCCGCCCGCCTCGGCCTCCCAGAGTGCTAGGATTACAGGCGTGAGCCACCGCGCCCGGCCATACAGCTCTGTTTTAAAACCTCTACAAATACCAAAACTTAGCTACAATGTGGCATATCAGCTCCTCTACAGTATTAATTTTGTACTTGCCATACATCTAAATGGCATTGCAATTTAATGACTTAATTATGAGCCATGATCAAAATATATGCAGGGAAATGTGAACAAAAAATAAACAAAAAACCCAGAGTCCTATTATACAGTTACTTCTGAGTGTACATTTGTGCAGCTTCAACAAGAACCAGTCACCTGGAACCCATACTCCAGTGCCTACTGTGTCTCCTGTATCAGCTAAGGCTCTGTGTTATGAGTAGGAGCCCTAGTGTTTATTACCTTATAAAAAGAGAGAATGTCAAACCTTTTGCAGCAGTGTTCATCCAGGGGCTAGGGAAGAATACCCTCACTGATGTAAGTGTGGAAGGGCTGTAACCAAAATATAGTGGCACTGTGGTCACAATCGAGCATGTTCAGCATGTGACAGGACTTGAGACTTCCAATTGAAGGCTCGTGCCAGACCACACATGAAATATTGTAAAGACTCAGTCCCTAATGACCCCACTCACACCTTGTTCCTCTTTGTGCTCCTACCCCTGCCCTCTACCCTCTTCAGCCTTGTCTGCAGCTATGGGCTATAATTTATTTTCCCCCTCCTGCCTCTAGTCTAGCATGTGGACCCACAATTCACCTCCATCAGAGAGCCACTATCCCATGGACCCAAGTGCCAGTCAATGCCGGCTCCACCCTGGCTCTCACCCACCCAGCATCTATACCATGGCCCTCAAGTAATAGCATCCTGGTTTTCCCTGGAGAATCATGCCTCTCATACTCACATTCCCTCCTGTCCTGGAGCCTGGATACAGAGTTCTTGCTGACTTAAGGCCATTCTCTTTCCCTCCTCTCTAAAGTCTCTGGCTTTGACTCTTATGTCATCAGACTATTCCAGCCTTGCTTGCTGCAACCCTCTACAGACTCCTGGGTCTCTCCCTCTCACTGTTTGAAGATTTCAGTCCCTGCATCACGGTCACTCCCTTCACACTATCCCTGTCATGATTCTTGGTAGTTTCAGTACCATATAAATAACACTTCAACACCACAGCTTCTAAGGCCCTGACTTCTTGTCCTCCATTAAGTGTGCTGAGCAGTATGCTGGAAATGTAAATGCCAAATTCTTGAACTTTGCTGGGGAAATGGGAAGATGCCCATAAGATAGTCAACCCAGAAAGCCAAAAATCTTAAGGAAGTACAAGCGTCTTGCAGTTTCTTGGACAACATAAATAGTGCATGGAAGAGGCCCCATTCAACGTGCCGAACAATATACTGGGAGTATAGGTGTATACCCTTTGCGGGACCATGTTGTAGATAATGTAATGCAGTCAAAACATTGACTCAAACACAAGTGTACAAGTGCAGTTGTCTGACTGTTGGAGGGAGTTAAATAGGATTCCACTGCTAAAGAAGACTCACCAGGTCCAACATCTATAGTTTGTTATAGGAGGAAGATACAATATGTCAAAAATAGTAAAGTAAGAATATATGTCTCAAAGGCTAGTCATGGTAAGGGGTCCGGAGAGGCCAGATGCAAGGTACACTGTCCTCCCTTCTGTAAGGAATGTGGCTGGTTGAACTTTTTCTCTTGGATCAGGAAGCAAATGCATGGAATACCTTGGAACTGTGGAGCCCCAAATGGAGGCTCAGATGGGGATTTTACATTTTTCTGGCCACATAGGCATATTCCTAAGGCATTCCTAAGCCAGGCTCTACAGCAAAGTCCTGTGGGGGGGGGGTGGCTCCCTGAGACCAGGTGTAAATCATCTATCTCACTGTTTTCAGTAAGCATTTCTGACAATCTGGTACAAATCTCCCAGAACCTCCTCAGACCCAGAGTTAAAAAGCAATATCATTAATCAGTATGCTTCATGCCCTTCACCAGAGGTCAGTGCCGTGCTGGAATTTTAGCAAAACAGCTCTGGCTAATTCCAGCCTGGAATTAACCCTCACAGCACGATAGCTTTTTTGTTTTTTTAGCTCCCTTTCCTGGGCTGGAGTGCAGTGGCATGACCGTAGCTCACTGCTGCCTCCAGCTCCTGGGCTCAAGCTATCCCACCTCAGCCTCCTGAGTAGCTGGGACTACAGGCATGAGCCACTGTGCCTGGCACAATAGCTTTTATAGTTATTGCAAATGGAAATG